TGCCTTGGTTTTAGCTTTCGTACATATTCCCATCTTTCCTTTGTTGAAAAACTTCTTGATTCTGTCTTCTATATTCATTTGGTATTTACAATATTCTCGTACCTAAAATTAAAAAAAAGCTTAACGATAATTTTATAATAATATATAATAATTCAAATGTAATTAATTTGCTCCCTGAAACTGCTTGTTACTGATTTCGTTAAATTTTTTTTTCTTTCTTTTTTAGCAATTCTTTCACTGAATTTTCTACTAATCACTTGTTACGTTCATGCTCTATAGCCTTAAATATATTCGAAGTATTATTCTAATTGTTTTTGCCATATTTGTATTTGGAAAGGATAATCCTTATGTTTTGATTACGGAGTAGAAGGCTAACTTCTCTGTGTAGTCAAATTCCAAAAAATTAGGTTTGACGAATTTAAGTACTAAAAAATGGCGTAGTCTTTGGTATATGTAAACACAACCTTACTTTTATACGGAACAGATAAACGTATGAAGAATCGTGGTAGTACCTCTCTCTCAAAATGCCAAGGTTCAGAAGACGAACTTACTCCACTATAATTGTAAATGCAAGAATCTGGTGCAAAGAGCTTTACTTAGGCCCCAAGAACCAAAGCAACCATGAAGGTTCAGTTAATAAAACTTACATAAAGTATGCATCATTTCCTTCTGCGAGCACCTGAATCGCCCAAGACCCTATGCTCGCGAGGTGGAGTATCTATCTGTATACGTCTCCTATCAGTGATGGGATATTGCTCTTCCATGCGCACTCTTCGATGTGCTAGTTCCGACTCAGTAGGTGAAGCTCTCCTTTCAGAAACTAAGCGAGCAGACTGAGGAGACCCGGTAGGTCTAGAGCGTGGACGAGAAATGGGATTTGGAAATTGATTCCTTTCGCGGTTTCGTGAATTTTCACTTGGAGCAGCGCGGCGTTGGCTTCCACGAGGTGGAACAGGAGATCGAGAAGAAGAAGAAGCCGAGTCATAAATAGGACTTCGGTTTTCGCGAGCATGTCCACTATAGCCTCTGCGGTGCATAGAAGCATGTGGAGGAGTGTAAGAAAAGCTGCGGCTACGACTTCGAGAATAACTTCGACTGAGTCTTGATCGGCTGCGCGAACGGCTATGACTGTTGCTACGAGAGTAGCGCCGCCCGACACGACGCCCAGAGCTAATGCCACGAAGAAAGGCGTTTACACGTTCTTCATACTGAAAAGATTATTCGAGATATA